CCATTGCCTCGCCCAGAGGTCCGAGAATCGCTCTGGCTGCAGGTAGGACTCCGAGCGGATGTCGAGTCGGGGCCATCCTTGCGGTTAAGTCGAATCACGTTAGCCGTGAGCGACTGGCCCACTCAAGGCTCATCAGACTCATCAAATTTGAAGGTCGTAAAGCATGCGCGAACCGCGAACAAGCCTTCGAGGCTCGTCCGACCGTCAGCGAATCAATAAGGGGTCAAATCGTACCTAGTTGCCGAAAGCTAGGGCAAGCGATTTGTCCAAGACCCCGTATCAAGAATGCATCAAGTTTGAGTGTACGGCATGCGACCTGACTTTGATTCAACTCATGATTGTAAATCGCTGTGGATTATTCAATGATCCAGATTGATGTGCGCGCGTCTAATCTTGTTTGCTAGGCTTGCTCGCCATGATTGCTTTCCCAGCTGTCAGTAAGAGAATTGTGGGGCACAGCAGTCAAGAGTGAATCGAAGCCTCTATAAAGACGAGCCAAATAAGTGTCAATTAACGAAGAATTAGAATCGAGAAACATGAATCAAAAATCGGCGTATACAAATCTTGAATGCACCGATTATCCCTGACTCAGGGATAGTCTTGAGTCTGTGGCCATCGTATTTAGGTCGTCACCGAAGCTTGCACCATTATTATCATCAGGCCTCAAGGATCGAGCGTCAGCAAACGCCCTGACTGAACACACGACCTACCGGTATATAGGTGGCTGTATATCAATCGTGGGTAAGCTCCCATGCGAAGTCTACACTTTGACTATGGCGGCAAGTATGTCTGTCGTACAAACATGAAAAACAAATCACGAATAGATGATTTCACCTGTATATCGTTGAAACCGCTCACTGCTGGTCTGGGGTTGGTAGTCAAAGCTTTGAGTCGTGAGTCTCGAGTCAAGGTCTTTGCTACCTACAGAAGAAGAAGAAGTGCGTGTCACGACTTTTCTGAACGTACCGAATGAGTCGAGACGCTGCAACGCTGTTGTTGTGAGGCTGCCCGTGGAGGCTCTGGTCGACAGTGAGACTATAACTTCGCTCGTCATCATTCCGCTCGGTTCGCCGGTTCTTGGGCCGCGTGGATGGATCAATCCTCGCTCGCTTCATGATCTGTCGCCCCTGTTTCTCTTTCTGCTCATAAATGCTTAGCTGAGCCTCCGAGCTCCTGCAGGTACGCCGGTTGCTCTTGGCACACCCTGTTCAGCGCTGTTAAAATCGCACTCACGCTAATTACGACTATAATAGGTGGTCAATCTCTGCTCTCAAGCCCGCTCTTGCACAAATGGAGCTTCTGGCAGTTGGTCGTGCCGCCACCACGATTTAGCGCAGCCAGCGGAGCCTTGTCGCATTGCACCTCAACACCGCGTTACTTACCTCTCGACTTTGAGACTGATTTGACCCCTTGAACACCAGCCTGCACCCTGCCCTGTTCCCCTTACAGCGTAGTTCACCGGGGCCTCATGGAGATCTGGACTCGACCTGGCCTCGCGGAGTCATGCAGTCACGAGCGAGTGCGGGTTGTCAGTCAGTCAGCCAATCGTGAAGTGAACGCAACTCACGACTTGCGGACTCCGCGAGTCCAATGGCCATGCACCGCGGTGGTGAATGGGCGGCTGACCGCATGTCTGCATGCGCGACTTGCATCAGCTGCTGTGATGCACGAATCGTGAACGACTTAACGACTGACGGAGTTTCAAGG